GTACTTGTAAGTGTTTATAGCCGCATCAATAGCTGACCCTGCGTGTAATCTCTTTTTCATGTTGCCATGTACATGACAATGCAGCGGATGAAAGGACAAGGGAATCAAGGTAAGTAAATAATACGATATGCATGCACTGTCAAAAGAATTAAGTTTCTGAAAATCACATCTAAATAATAACACTTTGATATTTTATTAATGTATTCCAAATAGTACCCATAGATTGCTATTATTTTTTAATATATAGCTGGGTAGTTATCCTGTCTTGCAAAATTCTGCTTGATATGCTTTGTTTGTAAGAAAGATGTTCCATTATCTTCACAGTATTATGTGATTTTGTGGTTTGAGTGTGCTACATGTAGGAGTTCATGGGAGTTCAGAAGTATTCGACTATTCTGACATAACTTAAACTTCCTTATAAATGTATTTTGCAGCTGCAAAAAGCTTTGTTGTTGCTTTTCTTACTTATGTGGCCTTAAAACTGTAATTACTTTATGCCAAATTTAATCATAATTGCTTTCAGTTTCAAATGGCCCAAAGGACCACGTAGGTGAACATGAGGATTTTGATTCATGGAGGACCCAACATCATCAGGTAATATGAATATGTGCTGAACAGTTTTTCATTGCAGTATGGCATTGTATAATCACAGGTTAATATCATATACCTTTATTTTGTAATGAACAGATACTTTGATATAATACAAGTTGATTGTAATTTGTAATATGCCTATTACAAACTGAGTAAGATACATTATTCAAATCTTTATCTGTTTTCACAGTACCTAAATAAAGGTTGCTAACATTGTGTTGGCAGAAGTCCTATACCAGGATTTGTTGTTCATGTTTACTTGACAGAGCCTTCATGATATAGCAAGCATGTATAACTGTGAGTCAATTTGAGGTATATCTACAGTTATGAAAGTGAATATTAACATTTTTAACATATGCAGTCACCCAAACACAGGACATGATGATTATTTTACTAGCAGCCTAATTCTAACAAGAAGAGTAGAATTTGATGTTTCCAGTGCCGTGAGTCTGAAGATGGCTGTCTTCTGGATTGTAGTGCTTGTGATCTCTGATGGAGGCAGCAAAGACCTCTGAAACGTTGGTAAACTTCTACCAGATTAAATGACACTACAACCCAGAAGACAGCCATCTTCTCACAACAAGATTTCACCATGTCAACAGTAAATGCAGAATCCACAAATGTACACCACATCTGTTTTGATGCTCAAAACCCTGTGGAGCACTTGTTAAAATGACTTAGTTGGCCCAGAGCTTGAGAACAGTGAAACAAAAAAGTGTTGTGACATTTTAATTAATATTTAAAATGGTCATTCTTAACAATTTTACTGAAGCGCATAACTACTTTCTTGAGTTTATTTCATTTTTTAGAGCAACACATCATTGGTAACAGCACATGTTTCCTTTTATATCCTAGCCACACATTGTTACTATTTTCTTAAGTCATTTGGATTTTGATGCAGTACATAGAGACCTTGAAATTTATTCTCTCAACATGACTATTCAAGTCCCACTACCATTAAACCTTTATAATGCTGCTACATCTATAAGGTAAACTAATTTTTTTGAATACCTTTGCCTTTGATCGCTAAATCACCCTTTCTTACCTGCTGCCAGTGTTATAGAACTATGGCTCAGGGTCATATGTCATTGACACCAGACAACTGATTTAATTTATGCTATTTGTAAAGTTCAAAACACAATTATTATGCTATGCGTGCATTATGTTTGATATGTATGTGGGCAGTGACAGTCATACAAAATAACATTCTGTTTGTAAAACAAGAAATGAGCTACATGCTGTGCTTAACTTCAACTATTTCTTATTTATCTTGTAATCATGCACATGTAGTTTGGAGTGAAGTATCCTATTACAGGTGTGCTACTTTTGCAAGATCAAATTTTATCATTGATGGTTATTTCATTTTGTAACGATTTTTACAGTCAAAGGGTTTAATAAAAAAGGAAGTATTTACACTTTTTCTAACTTATGAAATGCAATTGAAATATGTTTAAAAATTTAAATTCTTGCTTGAAACCACAACACAGTGTTGCTCCATTTTCTCTAACAGTATAACTGATTACTTGTGCCACACCATTCTTCCAATAATACATCAGGTTATTGTGTATGTATGAGAGGGACAATGTATAACTATTTTTTTCTAAAACCAGAGCCACTCTATTTTTGCACTGTACCCTTAATTTGATCTGCAATACTGGGAAAAAGATACATATGCTCCAACATGCTGTAGCCATGCCATAGATTAAATAACTGCCAACACTTTGGTCGGTCCCATCTCACTTTTATTTTCTGGTACCCCTTTGATTTTACTTTATTGTGATGGTTGTTTACTTCTTCCTAATGGAACATGAAGGAAATTCATCTGATTCATTTACTTTGAGTATTCTTTTCTCCCAGCTGTTGCCAAAGATTTTCTTGTTACTCTGTTTGCTAACAAATATTAAAACCACAAGAAATAAGCTCATATTTTAAACACAGTTATGGGTAATAATGGTGCATATAAACCACAATAAGTTACTGCATACAGTGGTTGAAAAACTTTTTGGCTGCTGAAGAAGCTGGAGAAGTGACATACTCTGTGTCACATGAGGTGGCTGGGGCAGGTTATATATGTTTTGCCCTTTGATCCGAGAAGTTCTTCTGCAGAACCTGTAATGAACAGTACTGTCATCAGCAAATAACAAATAGACTAGCGAACATGAGTGGAGTGAGTTTTATGTCATGTCAGTTTTGTCACCAACATATTCAGAATCAAATTCCTCAATGGAAAGAGGGCAGATGCAGGGAAATGTTCTGAATTCATACAGTTTCATGAAGAAGAAACTCAGGAAGTAAAGGGACAAGTGCCTGAACATAGCCTAAAAACCCCATTGAAAGTGCCAAAGAGGTTAGAGGAAGTGACAAAAGTTTGCCGAAGGGGAATTAGAAGAATTTTAGGAGAACATAGGAAACAGGAACTTTATTCACCAAGCCCAACAAGATACACAAAGGGCCAAAATGTGTGAAAAATAGTTGATTTAGATAATTGTGTCATTTGGCTCAGTTAATGATTGTTAATTGTAAGAAAAGGCATCACAAACTGTCTCTACGCTGCTACTAAAATTGAGGGATGGGATTAATTTCAAATGAAGTAGCACCAGCTGGAGAAATATAGTGAAGGAATATTGATTTCAGTGGAAGAATATGAAACAAGAGGGCAGTCCTTAATGGTAAGCATGACTTAAGATTTATGAGTCATTGTTCTTCATGTAAGAGGCTGCTGTGGTTTCTTTCCCAGTGTGTTATTGTCTTCAGATATGTTGATCAAACACTGAATTTTTGTTTTAAAAATTGTTTGAAAAGTCTCACAACCTACTATGGAATTATACAGGTGTCCATAAAAAACCTTTACAACTTCAAGACTTGATAAAAAATGAATGAGTCAAGATAACTGGATGGGGTTTGTTGCTTATTAAACAGCGTCTCTCAAAGTTTTATGCATGTAAGTCAATACACCTCTATATGTGCACCCTTAGTTACACTAGCACATCAAGCCGATACTCGATTTCCCTCCACGTTCGCTTTGTCAGGCGAACGAGGTGGCCACGGTATGGGACCATCTCTCCCAATCCACCTATCAGGAAACTGTTCGTTAAGGTAACCACGAACCGCCAATCCCCAGTGGGGTGTTGCTCCATCCTGCTGGAAGATTACATGTTGTTGAATGTCCTCCAATTGTGGGACAGCAAATTCCGTCATCATGTCTGGATACACATTGGCTGTGATTGTTTTTTCGGCGAAGAAGAATGGCCCAATTATTCGGTCACACGAGTCCGCACCACACGTTAACTTTCGGGCTATCGCGCACAAGTTCTCTGGCCGCATGGGGGTTTTCGGATTCTCATATCCTTATGGTGTGCCTGTTAAGTAACCCCGACACATGGAACATTGCCTTGTCACTAAAGAGAACACACTCAAGGAAGCCTTCCTCGACATCAATTCGAGCCAGCATGTTGACAGCAGCTGTGCGACATGGCTCGTTATCTGGCTCAAGAGCTTGCACCACCTGCACTTTGTATGCGTACAGTCTCAGATTCTTGTGCGGAGCTTTGTGGACGGTCAAACGTGGCAACTCCAATTGTCTGGCGGAGGTGCGAATGGACTTTCCAGGGCTACGAACAAATGCACCATGCACACGTTCAATATCCGCTACGCTTGTGCTTGGTCAGCCACTGCCTTTTTGCTGCAGAACACTGCTAGCCTCCATAAATTTCCTGTGACACTCACGAATTGTGGGTCTTGATGGCGGTTCCCTTCCATATTTGGTCCGGAACTTGCGCTGCACCTGCGTATCTGATCTTGTCTCGATAAACCAGGATACACATTGTGCCTTCTCCTGTGGAGTAGCCATTTCCTGTAATGTTAAATGTCAGTCGATATGCACACCTTCAGTTAACAAAAGTTATGTTATTAACACTAAACAAAAATCCCTTAAAAACTTTGAGAGACGTTGTTTAACATGCAAAAATATCATCCAGCTATCTTGTCTCATTATTTTTTATTTAGCGTTGAAGTTGTAAAGATTTTTTATGGACATTCTATACATCAGGTCCAGTTTTCTTTTCATTCACTGTTCTGCCTGGTGATAGATGAAGCATTATTATTATACTGTTGCACAAGTGACTTGCACCTAACCTGCTTGAACATTTCACCTGCCAAAAAGTATTGCAGCCACTATGGCATTGATTATCTAGTCTGCTCTCTGTGAATGTACTGCTTTAACACAGATGTAGATTGGTCTGCACCTTCTAAGCAGAACTTGTCACCTACTGGCATTGCAAATGAAATGTCTGCCAACCATTTACTGTAATAGGTATGGCTGCAAGTCCTCACTGAACAAAAATTGCAATGTTCACATTGTTTGCTGCCTGAGATGAGTAGTTCTGTGACATAATCATTTTTGAGCTGGAATTTGCAGAAGAGAAAAAACAGACCTTAATAAAACATAATACTTAAAAATACTGGTCACTGTGACAGAATTTCTAATGCCATGGCAACCTGGCAGATTTTTCGTGCCCTTTTCTTACATATTAAATTTTTATTTAATTCAAGGATACTGTCAAACTCCAATATCAACAACCTCTACTGTAACATTGCTTTATTGGCGACTCGTATTTATCAGATTCCTTCATTCTGTTGTTGTACATTGACTTGCAGTTGCATAATCTGTATTTTTATTAAGGTTGCTTACTACCCATAACACAAATCATTCCAACTGGTTACCATGTTGTAAAGATGTATCAACATTTATCAAGGTATATATACATAATATATATTTATTCTGGTTGGTTTTCCCTCATTTTATGTGAAAGGGTATTGATTGTTGCATACATTGAGTTCTATACTTAAGGGCAGTTCATTGTGTACAGTAAACCACTATTTCCACTTAAAGATGTGTTCCTCTTTTTTTCCTTTCCCCCCCTTTTTTTTCTTCTTCTTCTCCTCTGCTATTAGGACCCCTTGGATCTCTCATGTTACACAAGTTTGCCCTTTAAGAAAACAGTTTGACAGATATTTGATGAAAATGTTCTGGTGTATTTTAATTGTAGGTCAGAGTTGTATACAAGGTCTCCATGGTATTTCCTTTGCTGTCTAAATAATAGTTTGTAAAACATTTTAAATTTGTTGTTGCTTTAGATAGTTCCATTGCTTTGACAGGGTTACAACACCCCAATCTCTACATCGATGGCTTCAGATCCCTACATGTCAAACTACTATGGAACATCATTCCCGTATCAGGCATTTGGTGTAGGCGATGGGACATGGTCAAATGGAGGCGATCCCATGACGTTCCTAGGTGGATATGGGGGCCAAATAGGACACGACTCGTATGGCATGGATGGGATGTTTGGGGGTGGGGGTGGTGGTTTCGGAACAGCATTTGGACAGCCAGCAGCAGCTGCAGCAGCTGCTGCAGCAGGTTTCAACTATTTCCATGGCAATGGTGATTATTCAACATGGGGTAACTCTGCAGCCATGTCGAGGAAACCCCACTATGATGACTACTATCGAGGTGGGGACGGTATGTATGGTGCTGCTGCAGCAGCAGGAGTGGGCAGCTCAGCAGGTGGTGGAGTGGATGGGCTTAAAGCAGTGGAGCAGGGTATGCAGGGATTGGGACTGTCAGATGTGGCTGGTGGGAGTGGGGGAGTGACTCAGGGGGTTATAAAAGTAGTGGATGGCAAGGACCTATCCAAACAGCAGCAGGATGTGGCAGGGGGCAGCAAGACAAGTGGCATGGACACAGGAGTTGGTGTGGGTGGGGGAATGGTGGCTGTGCAGACAAATGTTGCACCAGCACCTCAACCTCCCAAGAAGATGACATGGGCATCCATTGCAAGTCAGCCTGCAAAACCACAGCCCCCAGTGACTTCAAGTGGCATGAAGAAGAAGGGTCCAGGCATGCCTCCTCCACCCATGGTGCCTGGCAAACACAATATGGACATAGGAACCTGGGAGGGAAAAAACGGAGGTGCCAACTCAATCAGCGGACCAAAACAGCCTGTTGGTCCTCCTCCCACAGCAAGGCCGGTTTGGGGTGGACCAGTGAGAGGAGGTGGACCAAGAGGGGCAGGGGGCCCTCCAGGGGGTGGAGCAGGTGGATACCCTCCTGCTGGTGCCCCACCACATCACCATCCAGGTCATCACCCTGGTCAGGTGACCATTCTTGCAGGACCCCATCATCCTCACCATCCTCATCACCCTCAAGGGAGTGGAACTGGAGTACCTCCCCCACACCATCTTCAACAGCAGCCCCCTGGCCCCCATCCTGGCAGTGTGATGGTTCCCACTCCGCTGCCATCTCATCCTGTGCTTGATGAACTGCGTGTCAAAAACAATTACAATCCACCAGACTTTGATTTGTCAGCCAAAGGGGCACGCTTCTTTGTGATAAAGTCTTACTCAGAGGATGACATCCATCGCTCCATCAAGTATGAGATTTGGTGCTCAACTGAGCATGGCAACAAAAGGCTGGATCAGGCGTTCCGAGAACGTGAGACAAAAGGTGGTGGGGGCCCTGTCTACCTCTTCTTCTCTGTGAATGGGTCAGGACATTTCTGCGGAATGGCACAGATGGTTTCACCTGTGGACTACCATGCCTCAAGCTCTGTCTGGTCTCAGGACAAGTGGAAGGGACAGTTTTGCGTGCGTTGGATTTATGTCAAAGATGTCCCAAATGTTCAGCTGCGCCACATCAGGCTTGAAAATAATGAGAACAAGCCTGTGACCAATTCAAGGGATACACAGGAAGTGCCGTTTGAAAAGGGAAAGCAAGTATTGCGTATTCTACATGGTTATCGCCATTCTACTTCAATATTTGATGACTTTGTACACTATGAGAAGCGACAGGAGGAGGAGGATAGCCGCAAGGTGGTGCCAGATGTAGGTGGTCCTGGAGGAGGTCGGGGTGGAGCTCCCCCACAACAAGGACAGCAATCCAGTGGTGGTCCAGGTTCTGGTGGTGGTGAAAGAGGTGGCGGTCACCATGGGGCTGGGATGCCTCCTCAGCAGAAGGTAAGACACTTATGAAATTTGGTAATTTTGTAGGGAGTGGTGTTGAAGTATGACTGATGTTTATTCATTATCAAAACATTTTAATTTTAAAGTTGTTTGAAATTGATGAATACGTTCTGTTTTGGTGACAGAATGATGCATCTTATAATACTCCATCACCATTCTGAAACATTGTACATTTGGATTATATTATTTTAAAATTCTTAACTGATACAGAGCCTTTAAGATTTTAAAGTTACGGGTTTTCCTAAATAAAAAGTTACTTTAAAACTTCAACTTTACTGCAAATCAGTACCTTAGGAATTTAAAAAGATGAGGGGAAAGTATGCCAGAATTGTTTGATTTACCAAACTGTTGTACATTTCTCAGCATATTGGGCTGATCATTTCCATGCATCTGACCCCATTTTTCAACGTGAGAAGTGCTGGACACAGATTTGGTATGAAGATAAATCCTAAACATACAACTGTGTTGGTTTTGTTTGTAAGTGAAACACATGGTGACAGTGCAAGACTTTTGATTTTGTAAAAAAAAATAATGTAGACAGAATCTGTACTTACATAACAAGTTTTCACACCCCACAACCGACAATAACAACAACAACAGTAATAATAATAACAATAATAATAAATTCAATTCTTTATTTTAACATGCTAACTCTACAGAGTCAGCACCAAAAAATAAAATTAATACAAAAACAAGAACACAAACTTACATCAATAAACATGAAGAAACATTAATTATCATGTTATTCAATCCAATTCCATTATTAAATTCCTTTATTAGGGTGTTTGCTGGCAGCACAAATAGCCTTGTACAGGCAGATGCTGGCAAAATTGTACTACACTAATAATAACACACTAATGGGAAATAGCATAAAACATAGTTAAATTATAACAGTCAATCTAGATTCTTTCCTGTACAGAGAAAGTGTCCTCGAAGGAGGCACTGACTTTGCTGAACATAACCAAAGATCTGCATATGTCATTTGCAGCACTACACGCCTAGCTGAATAACTATGTCTCATCTCTCTGCTCACACTAAAAGTAGAAACATTTATTATTCGCCTTGAGGGCACACAAATACCAACAGTGTCCATTATTGAATGGCAATTTATTTTACTCTTAAAAGCATTAATGAGAAATAAGGCATCAGGATGTCGTCATCTAAAATTTAAGCAATTTAAAATCACCTCATACTTATGTGGAATATCAAACTGAAAGAAGTGATAATGACACAGATTGGCAAATTTTCTTTCAATACTTTCTAATTTGTTAGAATCAGTCAGAGTAAGATAATTCCATACCACCGAAGCATATTCAAACCTAGACCTAACTAAAGTATTATATAAAATAAGAAGACTGTCTAAAGAAGAGAAGTTATAAATAATAAAATGAATCAACCTAGTGCTCTGAGTCCTTGAGAATATGCATAGTCAACATGAGAATGAAAAAGCAATTTGAAGATTTCTGTCTTCTGGGTTGTTGCGCTGTGTAGTCTGGTCGATGCAATTTACTATCTAACATGGCGCCAAGATCTTTTATGCAGTCAATACGCAAAATTGAAACATCTCTGACATAATAGTTAATATGGATACTGTTGGTCATACTTATGAAAGATATAAGTTTTGTCTTCTGAGCATTAAATTCCATCAGGTTATCATCACACCACTGGTGTTATTATTATTTAGTGTTCTGTCTGACGACAGGTCCATTGTTCTGCCCAAAAAGAGTTCACCAGTTTTCCCTATTCGCACCTTCTCGTTTTAACTCCTGAAACTTCATCTTCTTTCCTTGCTTGAGATCGTCAGTTAGCTGTATCAGTCTTCTTCCCAGTCCTCGCTTTCCTTCAACCTGGCCTTCGATGATATCACTCAGTAATCCATTCCTTCTCATAATATGTCCCAGCCAGTTAGCTTTCCTTCGTGTAATC